AAAAAAAAAAAAAAAAAAAGAACGTCGATAAAAAAAACTTTCAAAAAACGTAGTGATCAAATTGATAAAAGAGCAAAGATAACAATGAATAAGATGAAATAAAAATAAGCCATTACAAGGAAGAATATCCCGATATCGGTTCTTTTTAATATACCTCTCCTCTTTACCAACCTTACATAAGGCATTTGAACGAAGCCGCTTGTCTTGTTCAGTACGAATTTTCTGAAAATGAGATAAAACAATCTCAACAGTTCTTTAAAACTAAAAATGCAGAATCTGGAAGCTGCAGACTACAAGCAAAAAATAAGCAGATAAATAAATAAACAGAACAATAAAAACAGAAACGTCAAAACACTCAGGAATTTTGGAAAACAAACAAATTCATTGTTGTTCAAAAAAACAAATAAGCAATAAAGCACTTTTCCTAGCCAAATTTTCAAGTGCTTTAGCAGTTCCGAATTCACATTAATCAACTTACAGTGAACTGATCATTATATTCTTTTTCTGTCAATTTCTTCTGAGACTTCAAGAACTTGTCTAACGTTTTATTCATTTTAAGCCTTCGTAAAGTCGACAACGATCAACAACCAATGTTGCCCTGAAGTCTGAACAAGAAGTTGACCTGTAATAGTTTTGTGTTTAAGCAGTAAAAAACAGAATAAAATAGCATTTATTTAGAAAAGAAAATTAAATTAAAAAGAAAATGGGCATTAGCGACACTGAAACAATAGCAGTCGTATTTCTTCGAACAAACTTTATCAACGTGAAGGTTTTAAAAGTCCAAAAAAAAAAAAAAGAAAATTTTTTTTCATGAGTCATAACAGTGAACTCGCCAGAAGTAACAGTTTTAAACCAGTTAGCTGTTACAGCAAAACCAGAATACTCCTATAACTGTTCAAATTTTGAATCCGTCTACAACAACTGCAACAGCCATAAAAAATCACGCCGGTGCTTCTTTGCAAACACGCAACTTCAACACGTATTCTTCTAATCTAAGTAATGTTTAATATCAACAAAAATACACGTAAGCTTTAACTCCATTCACTTAACCATTCTCCCACCCTCTTCCAACCGCTTTGCATTTAATTGTCTCTACACCACTCCCTAAACATATGAAATGACTCGTTCTTTTGACTAAATTTCCCATTCTGTACCAGGCCGACAAAGTGTTGAAAAAATATTCTTCTAATATAAGTAACCTTTAATCAACAAAATTATTCAAGATTTTTGACGTATCATCGCTGAACATTTCAGCAAACTTTTACCACCACAATTACCCAATAGCTTAGGCGCTGTTCAACGGTTATCACTAATTTTTCCAATTCTGCTCTTCTTCCAAAAGTAAAATAAAATAAAACAAAGGAAAGTAAAGTAAAACTATATAACGTAATATAATAAAAGAAAGAAAAGTAACACCTAATCAAGCTTCAATATCAGTCCCAATTATTTGTTTTCTTGAGCTAGCAAAAAAAACTTTAAAAAAAGACAAATAAAAAGCAAAAAATAGATATACAGAGAGGCTGTTAGTTGGGTTAAGTTTGGTTTGGTTTGGTTTGGTTTGGTTGGGTTGCGTTGAGTTTGGTTTGGTTTAGTCAGTAAGTTAGACAAATAATAAAACAGATAGATGGATAGCTTAAGAAATACATGTAAACTTTATGGACAAATATATGACTCAAATAATGCTTTGTTTTGTGCTCTATTTTTTCTTTTAACGAATCAAATATCCGCTGTCTTAGC